TGATGTAAGCAGGCGTAAGTATTCGCGTACGAGCGTGTCTCGCCTTTTACGGACAACGTGGTTACCAGTCTTCAGATATCAAGACACCATCTGTCCGCTTACCTCGCTTCTGTGTTAATTGGCTTCGCTATAAGTCGAAGCGTGGAGAAGGTTGAACTCAAGTCGACCGCGTTCGCCATATGCTACAACTAAAAATCAATTGAGTCTGCCTGAGGTACTTGTCAACACAGCAAATCCTCAGGCCAGTGTTCGTAGCTATTTATGCACGATCACATCATGGTCCAACGGTCATCCAACATGCAGTTCACGATCTACATAGGTGACCGAAGATGCCAAGTACTGGTCGGACTGGTTCGCCCAGCGCGGTGTGAGTCTCGATGACTCCGATGACAGTCAGGCAGACATGCTGAGACAGCTCACGGCGAAACAGCTGGTTCTGGACAGTAACGATAGCTGCCCGTTCACTGAATCCGACCCCTCTGATTGTGTGCAACTATTAGTATATTGGGATCAAGACAACAACAACAACGGCTTAGGATCGTACACGCCCCAGGACAGCTCGTTCTAGTATGTCCGTATGTATGCAACCCGGACGGTCCATGTGCAGATGTGCAGAAACTCGATGTGTGACGTAAGTAATAAAGATAATCGTGTCAGTGCGTGGTGCGTGGTATGCGAAGGTTCGGTATTAGGATAGCAGAGCGTAAATCAGCGGGCACAACAGGGCTCAGCGATGGGTACGATGGAGCACGGGCGAGTACATGTCGGCTCGACCGAAGCGGGGGAATTGCAGAACGAAGCAACGCGGCGATCCCCGTTCACGCCCAACGGCCCAACAACGCCATGAGCCCCGCACCAAGTATCATGCACCCGAGCGCGTACGCAAGCTTCTTGTTCGACCCGCTGAGCATGTCCGAGTTGAAGAGGAACTCGTGTGCCATGAGCTGGACGACGGAAGACCGTCAGCGGACAACAGACATGTGATGCAGACAGACGCGTACCTCGACCAGCCCAGTGTAGAGTAGGATACCGCTACTGAACGCATCAAGAATACCGCTGACGATGCTCGCGGTGGTGCTGTCAGGGTTGTACGTCTCCCGCACACCCAGCCCGACGGCGATGCCAATGGGCGTTGTGATGCCGAAGAGGACAGCACCGAGAACGGGGATGTAGTTGTACTTCTGCGGGAGGCGCACGAACGCTAACCGCGAACCTACTCCGAGACCCTCGAACGTCTCTGTGGAGTATGTCAATTCGGAAACTAACAAAATATGTAACAGAGACTCACGATGGAAGACAATGACAACGAACAGCACTCTGAACTCCTCGTTCACAGCAAGCGTGAGCCCGACGAGGATACTATGAAGGAGCACGCCGAACTCGAGGATCGCGATACCGATGACCTGCGCCGCCGGGGAGTCGCCGACCGCATGCGGATGGTGATGATGGGCATGTGCACGAGCGGCCTCAACGTCAGAGTGCGCGTGGGGGAAGGTCTGCTGGTGTTCATGCTCTTGAGAGTGGGAGTGGGAGTGGGAGTGGGTGCTCTCGATGTCCCGGCTCTTCTCCCGGTTCAGCGAACCATCGGAGATGTCGTTCCGAGAGAGGGCAGCGTTCGCCTGAGTGATCTGGTCGGTCTCCGGGCCGTGGGCGGCGAGCGAGGCCAGCCCGTGCCCGTGTGCGTCGTGTGCGAGCCCGAGACGTTCGAGGCGTGCGGTGCCCCAACGGAAGGCGACAAGCTCGACGATGAAGATGAGAAAGATGCTGATCAAACAGATACCGAGGGCGTAGGGCTGATGATGGCGTAATTGCCTCACGGTCAGTGGGCGCTCGTAGAAACCCGTAGAAGGTGGGTACGCACGTATTCTTGCCATCCAGGAGCGAGGCAGGGAGAGCTGAGCTCTTCAATGGCAGGGTCAAGCAGATGGATGAGCGAGGTTGCGATCTATGAGCAGCATATGAATAGATGAGAGAGGGAAGAAAGGGTGCCACGCACGATAACACCGCTGCCAAAGTACTTGGCCGTCTCGAACACAGGCTGGGGCACACGCTTGCTCAGCCATTTCGTCCTCCGGGTGAGCACAGGGAAGAGTGCGCCTGCGAGAGAGCCGACGAGGATGATGAAGATCGAAGCGATCCTGAGTTTGGTGTCGGTGCGGGCGCCGCCGCCGGAGCCGCAGTTCACGTCGTCGTCGCGAGCTAGAAGACGGGGGTGGTGTAGCATTTTGGATGAGAAGGTGCCGGGGGAAATGCCAGCGAATTGAGGCGATATATATCGCGGTAGAAGGGGGAGGAGGAGAGGAGGTTATGGACAGTCGATGGACAAGTCTGGAGAGAGAGGGAGGAGGAGGCGCTGTGCCATCACTTGTGGCACGCCATTTGCGACCGCGACCGGGGAGGTACCCCTCAGCAACCCGCGCGACCTCATTGGCTCCTCAACCCCGGGATATGCCGGGGGTACCCTCCAGGTCAGCGCCTATCGAGTGCCTAGAGGCAATTATGCGTTCATCTGCAATGCCAACTGTCAGAGTCCTCGCCATGCTTGATGCTGCACTTGCGGTGGTTAATTGGGCTCAACTTCAGTCAGGAGCAAGGCTTTTGACGATATCAATGTGAAGCTCTGGCATGCCCCTATATGCAGCTGCATCTCCCAAGGACCTCGCCGACTACTGCTACAACCCCATGCCTATGCCGGGCTATAGTGCGGCTCGATTATCTAGCCAGCTGTTCAGTAAGGTACCTGTGCTATGACAAGATGGGTTCTTTGGCTCTGTTGCTATCCTCCCCTCTGACTGCGATGGTCCCCGATATTGTCACTTCGCGTGGGTGTGCGTTCACTCGGACGCCGCATTATCGCACTGGTACACGCTGACAGTCGGGCGCGGCACGATTGGTTCCTGAGATGTGATACTAAATGGTGCATGGCTACAGTGGAACTGAGATAAACGGAAGAAGCCAGCGAGTACCTCCACGGTGTCGCGGGTGTGCTCAGTGTGTTCAGGTCCGGGCGCCTACCTCCTCGGACCGCAAAGTGCCGCCGGGGGACCCTCAGGCTTGTCGAGGCTCGCGGGGATCGATGTCGCGTGCAGCAGAAACGCATACCGCACAGGTCTTCTGAGTCGACATGTCCGAGACGGTACAGTTCATCAACAGCCTCACGGGCTCATCGGCCAGTGCGGACGGTCATACCCACAGCCATGACGGCGGCCACACGCACTCCCATGGCCCGAACGAGCACGGGCACACACACGAGCATCTAGACCACCCAGGTGAGCGGCATCCTTCTCAGATCGGCGGATATGCACATGGGATACTTGGGGCTAACGGTATGCACGATCAGGCAAGTTCGCAGAGCGCGATCTACCCGACTACTCGTTGCGCAACTTCGAAGAGAGGGGCTTCACGGTCGGGATCGGCGGGTATGTGGCTCATCTTCTCCGTGTAAACCTACCAGGCTTCTCATCTTCGACATCTTACTCCCCGATAGGCCCGTTGGCTCCGGAAAGACTGCCCTCACGCTCGCACTTTGCCAGAAGCTCCGAGGCCAGTACAACATCGGTACGTCCATCCGTCGTTATGCCCTTGCATGGCAATACAATGAGTCAATGATGGGTCCACCGGTTGTGGCCAGTATATGTTCCGATATCACAGTAGTAGCCGTGCTGAGTGATTCTGCGTCTGATCAGACTCTACCTCAGCCCCTGCCTCAGACGCAGGAGAGAACCCCTCTCAGTCGATATGGTAGAGGAGACGGTGTCCCTAACAGCCATCCAGATTCGTCGACATTCGACGGTCTGCATGATCTACCTTTAGCCTACCAAGTACTTGCCTAGTATCTTTGCTCCATGCTCATCCACCTTCCCACCCTCCACCCTCCAGCCACAGTCACCAACGACATCTTCACGAAAGAAGACCAAGAGTTCCTGATCAAGAACAAAGCCCTCCCGTCCTCGCGCATCCTAGCAATCGAGACTGGGGGGTGCCCGCACGCCGCGATCCGCGAGGACATCAGTGCGAACATGGGCGCGCTCGAGACTCTCCAGGCAAAGTACGGCTGCCAGATCCTCTTCGTCGAGAGCGGCGGGGACAACCTCGCCGCCAACTACTCGCGCGAGCTCGCAGATTACATCATCTATGTCATCGATGTCTCGGTGAGTCCATACCCGCCGCGATTTGCGTCTACATCCGCTATGATGCTCAATCCCACTGTCTAGGGTGGTGATAAGATTCCGAGGAAGGGAGGCCCGGGCATCTCGCAGTCGGACTTGCTGGTCATCAACAAGGTACGGTTGTCCCTTCGCCTCTGCAACAGCAAACACGCTCACGTATGCTATCTTGCATCACTTTGCAGATTGACCTCGCACCCTATGTGGGTGCCTCCTTGGAAGTGATGGACCGCGATGCGAAGCTCATGCGTGGCGACGGGCCCACCGCGTTCACGAGTGTCAAGCAGGGCAAGGGCGTCGACGACGTCGTTGAGCTCATTCTGGCCGCATGGCGCACTGCTGGGAGCCCCGGGAAGCCGGGTGCTGTGGGGGACGAATGATTGGTGGACGGTGAATGCACAGAAATGTCGCAAGGCGACGATAATCTCGCAGGAAGCAGACATTTCATTGGTGCCGTGTACAGTAAAGTAACGAGGAGAAGGAATCGGACTGAGATGCATGGAGATCTTTCGAACAGCTCCGTATTGGACCTTGACAATCGCGGCCGGGGCTATCTCCCTCTCCTCGATGCGGGGCGGCGGGGGCGGGGCCGCTCAGCATAAGCCCAACTTGTTCCATGGTATATCGCTCTCGTCCTCATGGCCGCAAGAATAATCCACCACCGTCGTGTCCCCAGTGGGACCAAGTTGAGTCTGCCGATTTGCTTACAGTGGCACTGTACAGAAAGGAACAAGGATGAGGGGTTTGTAATCGGGTAAACAAAAACATTGACACTTACTTACGGTGGCAGTCCCCTTGAACTTATACTCGCATCACTAACATCGCTCACATCAATCTCTGTTAGTGTATCGGTTTAGTACACGCGCCTGTCATAGCTCTCCAGCTTCGGACGCGCGAAAGCGGGGTTCGACTCCCCGACAGAGAGTACAGCGCCTATGTTCGTTTTGTTCTTTTCGCCTACACTCAACTCCTCTTCCCGGAACAACTCCTTGCACAGGTCTTCCCCTATAGCAAATCGCTGGCCGAAACACAAATATTTTTTCTATTCGTTTCACTCATACATATTGAGCGCATAGTTGGGCACATATTGTATACTTAGCATACTGCACACATAAAGACGAAAATGCACGAATCACGTAGTGCCACGGATGATGGCTTTGAAACGCGAAAGGGGATGCTGCACTTGCAGTGCAGCGTGCTCTATGTTCCCGCCGCATGCTCAAGTGGGTGAGCCTGGGACAAGCTCAGATCTTGTGGCTGAGTGGTACGAGCATGAGTCACAGCCGTGACGGTGGCGCACTTGTTGAAAGCCATCGACGTCCGGCGCGTTGGTCATACCCGCCATGGCGAGAATGCGTACCACTAGAGAGTGTGTCTCCTAATAGTCGGAGAAGTACGCGAGATGAGAAGTTTGTCTGTGAGAAGGGCTGGGAGGTTCCTCCGAGGCCCGGAGTCTGCAGAAGCTGGGCAGCCGAACGGGCTTGTTATGCTCGTTTCTCTCCACGAAGCGCGGCAGGACGATGTCAGGTATGATCGGGGAGGGACTGCGCCTGCGCTCCATGGCGGCCACCGAGATTGAGTCGCGTGGCGCCCGGAGATCCCTCCAGTCATAACGCGACCCATATGCGGAGTCACGATCGTCGATTTCAAACTTGACGACCCGTCGTGGGTCCCTAACAGGCCGGGGAAGCTGGCGTCTGGAGATGGCGTCGTACAGAGACCGACGACGAACGCCACAGTTGGACGGTGGCGGGACACTGTACGGATGCGAACGCGATCGTCGATGGGTCCGTGAGTCCGCAGGATACTGTTCTAGAGCAGTGAACGAGGTGATATGAGCCGGGGAGGATTGGACACGCGGTGGCGGAGAGCGCGGTGGCGTGAGAGGCGAGCTCGGTGGCGAGGGTGACATGGAGTCCGACCTCGTGACAACAATATCCGGGAGAGGAAGGATGTCGGGAGAGGTGGAGCGCGAGGAGGGGTACATGTACTCGGGAAAGTCGTCGCGGAGCTCACTTTTGGCAGTTCGGTAGTCGGAGAGCCGTCCCTCGAGACCCGCCACACCATAGTCAATGTCCTCCTCCTTCACAACCACCAAGGGTGAAGGTGGTGGCGGAGTATCGACATCTACTTGCGACGTTGGATGGAGTGCTTTCCTGGCCCTCCACCCTTGAGGAGGAGCGATTGCGAGAGGTCGCAGCTGTGGCGGTGGCGGTGGCGGAGACGGAGACGAAGGCGGAGGGTCTTCTGACACGACTACTTCCTGCTTGTATTTGTATGATCTATCGCCCCAGCTCTGTATAAACTAGACGAAAAGTCAGTCAGCGACGCGTCGCCACAGAGCGAGGAGTGGCTCACATGCGCCGGGATATGCTTCAACGCAGCGGGAACCTTCGCGTGATGGTTGGGATTGGTGTTCCGGACATGTCCGGTAGCTTTCGAGTTGGTGGGTTTCACCTTGGGCATAGTGGAGATATGAGTTCGGAAGAGCAGGAGAAAACGAAAGATGCGGCTGCACAGCGCGACGTGCGCTCGACTCACCAGGATATGTCTTATAGGATACAGATCCGCAGGTAACTGAGCCTGGAAGCCACGTTTCTCAAGGCCTCGCGGCATCAACATACAGGGCATCACCGCCTACAGAGCTTTGGAAGACTCGACATCCCTGCCTTTTCAAGATAAAGAACCATTCCGACTTTCCATACAGGGTGGGTGTCACTGCCACTCGTGGTCGTAGCCGAGAGAACCCGAGTATCACGCGGCAGCCGCATGCCCGACACAAGAACAAGGCAGGGCGGATATGGCAAGTAGGCGTCGTGCCGTCCACTGCTTAGTCGCACCCACAGTGACTGAGGAACACAAAAGCAGCGTGCATCGCGTCCAACCAGCGCGGGACTAGGACGGTACCGCCCCTCGTGTCACCGCCAATCTGGCAGGACGCCTCATCTTCCTCCAGCAATCCTATCGGAGCCATCGATAGTTATCTGCGTGTGCTCACTGATGACTCGGTGCAACATTCCTCTGTGGACTGTAGCGTGCTGTTTGACATACCAGTATCGTTCAGCTCCAGCGGAATGCAGGTGCGAGCAACGTGGACCCTTGTTCAGACAGAGCACAGAGCGTAGCAAAAATAAGAACTGCGCCAGGGCGTCGAGAGGGGATAAAACAATCGCTGGTAGCGAGGGACCTCGAGGGAGAAGTTCAACTCCAGGAGGATCGGACTCCGACACAGCCCGTATGTGCCAGTGGCCGTGCTGCTCCAAAAGTGGTAGTTCGCCACACCGCAACATGAGGTGAGCGGCTAATACCCCGGACGCTGCGAGTTTCTACCCAGCCCACCGTTTCCTGACTTGTGTATCGTGATCTCTTTGAGTTCCTTCTCAATGGTTTCTCATATAAGTGCATCAAGCCTTACGTACTACTACATACTTTACTAGGTGCTCCCAGGCGGCCATAGGACCGTGAGACTACCGCAGCACCGGCAAGTAGTAGTACTTCTGCTGCTGCTCCTCTCGCTTCTCTTCGTATCTATCGGCGTCGTCTCGCTTTAGCATATCTACGCACAACATGTCGCAGTGAAGTTTTTTTACCAGTGCTCTTGCTGTTATGCACACCGAGCTCACACGCCGTCTGGGCAGGAACAACCGAAACACCGCCGATCTTCATCCGTATGGGAAGCGTCTCATTGCCATCCGGGACGTGCAACGCGTCTACCAGCACGGCTGCGAGATTCCCTATAGGCTCTACCTAATGAGGGGCGGGAAGTCGACCTCTATGGTCACTGCTCAGCAAGTCAGGGAGGCTTCGGACAGATGGGATGCGGAGAGCGTCTTGGAGGATATCGATACTCAGTGGGGAACACTCCCGAATGGTGGGGCCTTGGAAGGGTACGGAAGTGACTGAGTGGTGTTATCTGCTTACTCCAACGCCAATGGTGAGTATTCTATCCTTTCGCCACATATCGAGCTCGAGACTGACAATAACTGCGGTAACAGGACTTGATCCGAAACGCAAATGGCCCACATGAAACTCTACCTGAGAAATGAGGCTCGATCAACAAGAAAGTTGGGATAATAAAGTGCATCGACTCGAGTACGATATCAATGTGTGCGGAAGTGCTCTCTGTGCTTCAAAAACCAGCTCGCCCCAAACTCTTTCCTCAGCTTCGCATCCTCAGCACAGTACTGCCTGCAGAGCGACACAATACTGAACAGCAACGTTAGCCTTCACGTACATCAAGACAGAGATGTCCTCCGAAGGTCCGCCTCGGAAGTGTTGCAGAACAGAACCACAAGAGCCACCTGAGCGCCGCAAACATGGTGACGCAATTGCACGTCGTAGTGGTCACCAACGAGGCACGTTGATTTGAGTTCGTACATGTGGTTGAGGCGAAGCAAGCCATGCATTATTTTGTGCGACGAGGAACATGAAGGTAAGATGACAAGGTACTATGTAGCACAGTACGAATAGTCCACCTGGGACGGGTATCAGAGGTTCTCGAGAGTCGAGCTCCCCGTTTCATTGCGCTTTATGCTCGCGTTAAGCACCATGCGTGCTGTTCGAGGAACTCCCCCCGCCCTGCGTCGAGCACCAGCCATGATGATACTGCTGGGGCGCAGAATTTTGAGTGGTCTGCGCATCCCAGCCTCCATGCGCGTACCCGCCTGGAGTGGGATACGGATACCCATTGACGTCGTATCCAGCGGCCGGGAGGTTCGCTGCGCCACCCACAGAGGGAGCCGGTGAGAAGAGTGCATCATTCATGAATTGGTGCCACAAGTCGTCGTTGTAGGGCTGGCGCGACGTTTGGACGGAGGCATTGGGCAGTGTGCGAGAGGAGGTGGCGGCGAGGAGAGGACGTTGGCCACGAGCGCCGTATGAATGGGGATGGAGGCTCGGAGTCGCAGGGGTTCCCCAGTAAGGACCTCCTGGCAAAGGCTGGGATACTGACTGTGTGTATGCTGCATGATGCACACCTCCATGCGCCAACCGTCGCGAGGCGTAGTCGTTGCGAGGATATGCGCCACCATGCTGAGGTACATGTGGGGTGATGGTGGGCATGGGACTAATGCTCACGTGCGAAGTGACGGGGCTCGAAGGATGGCTGAAGGGCAAGCAGTGGGCAAGAGCGGGAGGAAGAGGAAGAGGAGACGTTGGCTGCTTCAAGGCGACATTGGGTTGCTCAACGAACGCGGCATTGACCTGTGTGGTGCGACGTCTCCGACCTCCGGCCTGAGGTCATGTTACGCACACATTGTCAGCTGTGCCTACTGAAAGGAGCTAGAAAACTCACCTCGGGAGGTGTCTTCTTCCGCGTCAGCGACGCGGTGATGTTGGACGCCTTTGTGACAGGCTTGAAGTAAGCGGGTGACGGTGGGACGGGAGGACGTGGGCTTGGATTTGTCGACTCAGGAGAGGCCGTGGCGCTGAGCTTGTTCCAGCGTATGCCCCAAATGTGCACGTACTTATCAATCTGCCGACGGCGAGACCAAGGTGAGACAGCGTAGAAAATTTCAGTTGTGGCTACACACCTGCCCGTTCGACCCTTGCACGAGACGAGTAGGTATGGTTTGCTTGGGGCCGGGGCTCGGGCGCTTTGGCATTGCGACGACGAAGATGCGAGAGTGGGTTGGGTAGAGCTGAGAGTGAGAATATGGAAACGAGGAGTATAGGAGTGGTGGCTTTTTCATGCTCGCCGTCTCTGCCCTCTGCCTTGGACTACGCGCAGCGGCCAGTCTACGGAAAGAGTAAGTGGGGACCGTGCAACACGATTAGTAGATCATGGACACCCACAAACGATGTTCTCTCCATCGACGAGTAGTAGGAATCAGAGGAAGCTTCTTGACGAAAACGCTGCGAGTATCCAGGCTCCGGCCGGAAAATATTCATGATGAGTCTGCATGGGGCAGGAGAGAGAGCCCACAA